TAGTAGTAGTAGTAGTAGTAGTAGTAATAGTAGTAGTAGTAGTAGTAGTAGTAGCAGTAGCAGTAGCAGCAGCAGCAGCAGCAGCAACAGCAGCAGCAACAGGACCTGAGTTCAAATCCCACAAGGTCTATGATCTAGGCCAAATCCCTTCACTTGGACCTATATTTCTTCAACCATAATAAAATGATTCTAATAATAGTACTCAATTCACAGGATTGTTGTGAGACTCAGATAAGATAATGTAGGTAAAGTTCTTCACAAACCTTAAAACTCAGCTTAGATGCTATTTATTATTATTTCATTCTATCTGAGCTTGTCACAAATGCACATGAAATTTGTGAAACAGAGGCTGCTTTGCAAGCTACAAATTAATGCTTTGGGCTTTTGGCAGACTTTGAGTTTCTCATAAAAAGGGCTAAATAAGTGGCCTAAGAAGAGGAGGGATTGGTAATAATCTGCCTTTTAAAGAAGGCTCTCTCAGTTGCTTGGGGTGGAAGAAATATCCATAATGATTCATTTACATAAGACATGGGCATGCAATGTGGATTAATGTGTTTCATTACATGGAAGGAGTGTGTTGGCTCTGGAATCAAAGGTCTGGGGTTCAAATTTCAGCCTTGCCACTTACTGTGTGAACCTAGGGAAGTTACTTAGCCCCATTTTTCTCATCAGAAAAGGAGGTAATTGAACTATGTGGCTTCTCAGGTACCTTCTAGTTCTATACTTCTGATTCCATGTAAATATGATTCCTTAGCATAGGTTTAACAAAAATAGCCCAAACCCACGGCTCTTCTCTCCAATGATCTAAGTAGACTACCTAGCTACAGTGAGAACCTGAAGGTATGGGAAAAAGTGAGTTTAGTGTTGTAATCAAATAAAACTTTGCAACACAATGACACATTTATGGATGCTGATTGTGGTTGAGTGATATGGTAATTAGGCACAGACCGTTAAACTCTTCAAGTAAATGACTGCAATGGCTACTACTTTCATTCAGTTAAACCAGGTATTTCTGGGGCCAGCTAAAGGAGGAGGACCATAGCTAGTATAACAGCCTATGTGATGGGCAAGTTACTTCTTCCTGGGCTCCAATGTTTTCCAAATGTAAAATGACGGGAATCAGATCAGATGATTTCTATGATTCTGCGGTATTTAAAGGTCCTTCTAAGACCTTTGATATGTAATCTAGGGAGTCTTAATACTCTGTTTCTCTAGTAGGGTATGCAGCTAGTCCAGATAGTTTAAGAACTCTTGAATGATAGGTGCACCTGTCCCTAGGTGTCAGGAACAAGGCAGGCTCCCAGAGCCATTTAGCTTAAGGCAGAGTAGCATCTGCTAAGTGTGGGGGTGAGAAGGAGACAAGGCATGGGGCCAAAATTAGGGGTGGCTTTACATATAGGCAGGGTAAATCAAATGGTAATTTTTTTTTGGTAAGACATTTGGGGTTAAGTGAATTGCCCAGCTAGTGAGTGTTATGTGTCTGAGGCCAAATTTGAACTCAGGTCCTCCTGGCTCCAGGGCCAGTGCTCTATCCACTGTGCCACCTAGCTGCCCCATCAAATGGTAATTTAAGGGAAAATGGAAGACCCTAAATTTCAAACTTTCATATAGACATATGTATGTATATGCGCATATACATACATATATGTGTAGACACAAATTTATTATATAACTGCATAGATTTATAATGGATTTATAAATGAATATATATCTCCTACATGAAACCTGAAATTATGCCAATTAAAGATTTACGTAGGATAACAAACCAACCCCCCTGAGAAGAGGGGTAGGGTGGGATGGTTGATATCATTCACATTAGGCAGCATTGAGTAATTCACGGCCTTTACTCAACATTTTTAAACAAATGAAATTGTGTTAAAAAGATAGACAGGAAGGGCAGCCTGATTTAGTTGAAAGAGGAATGGAGGAATAAGCAAGAAGCCTGGTCTCTACTTCTGATTTGAATATTAACTACATGTATGGCCCTGGGCAAAGGACATAACCTCTCTGGGTCTCCTTTTTATAATCTACAAAATGGGAGTCCACTAGTGAATTTTAGGGCTGGAAGAGACCACAGAGATTATCTAATCCAACTTTTTCACTTTACAGATGAGGAAATTGAGGCACAGAGAGGTAAAAGGATTTGCTCAATCTCTCCCCAGTGAACTAAGAATCAAAGAAAGGAAACAAGCACTTATTAACTGCCTACTATATGCTAAACTCTTTAAAAATATCTCTTTGATCCTTGAAACAACCCTGGGAGGTAGGTGTTGTTATTATTAGCTCTCTCTTATAGTTGAGGAAATTGAGGCAAACAGAGGTTAGGTGACTTGGTCAAGATCACACAACTAGTAAGTATTTGAGGTTGTATTTTAAACTCAAGTCTTCCTGTTTTAAGTTCCACTATTCAATCCATTTTACCACTTACTGAGACGCTATTGTTCAGGGGGAATGGCTGTTAAGACCTTTAACCTCTTTGCACCTCCATTTTCTCATTTGTCTGGGCTAGAAAGTCTCTAAGACCCCTTCCAGCTAAATAGTTCTTTGTCCTTTGATCTGCCCAGTCTCTTCATGAATTGGCCTGTCATCGTTGCTCAGGGGCTGTGCTAATCTCAGTATCATTCCAATTTTAGTATATGTGCTGTCGAAGCAAGCAGGATCTACCCTGTCTCAAAGGGGGAGTCTGAAGGGTCTGTCTGTGCCAGGAGGATAGAGGAGAACATTACTATTGCTTGGTCATCTGTGCAAGTTTATGCATGTTGACTGACTGATGGGCTCTGCTACTTTCAGGTTTATTTGATCAACGGCTCTTAGCTATATTGGGGCATTAGGGAACTCCCCCATCTGAGGTCACTTATGTTTCTGTGTGCCTTGTAACTATATATGTCACTCGAAATCCAAGATTCTTTGACTGGATTACTTCTCTCCTAATACCAAGCAGAGAGGCTGGCCCTGAGATGGGGAAAAAGTAATTTTGGTGCATGGAGACACCTTGGGGAAGGACGGAATTTAGACTGTCATAGAATCACAGACCTAGACTTAAAAATCCTTTGGACAGGGACTGTCTTTTGCCTCTTTTCATATCTCCAGCACTTAGCACAGTGCCTGGCACATAGTAGGTGCTTAATAAATGTTTATTGTGTTGCATTTTGCACAGGAGGCAACCAAGGCCCAGAGAGTTTGAGTGACTTTCACTAGGTTACACAGTAATTGGCAAAGCTGAAGTTTGAATCTAGGCTCTCTTGTTTCAGGGTTAGCACTGGGCACTATACCCTCCTCCTTTCATTTGATTAAATGTGTTGTCACATTGCATGCTTAGTGTAAATTAGTGGCAGACCTCTCACTCAGGGCCTGTTAATCCTGTTCAAAGTTTGCACCACCCTTTCGGTGGGTGGGTGGGGGGGCCCTACAAAGGCAATAGGACCCTGAGGGTAGAGGTGCCTGGACATGGAAAAAGGGCAGAGGTCCAGAAAAGGAAGAAAGGAACATACTAATGACAAACTATACTTGGAAATTTTGTCTGGAATGGGGCAGCTCCCTCCAGTCTCAGGGAAAGTGAGAGGGTTAACCATCAAATCATATATGGTGACCCAGCAAAGACCTTGAAATAAGGGCATTAAAGGCAGCAAGCAGGTGGGCACCCCCCTAAATGTCCGGTTCACTTGGACAAACTCTTCTGTGACCCTGGAGACTACTGGAACCTTTCATAATTCTCAGGCAGTTGCAGAAGCAGGAATTTGGACTCTGAGCGGGAGCCAAAGTGGTGGAGGGGGAGGGGAAGACAGAAGGAGGGAGAAAGGGGGAGAGGAGATAGTGGGGAGCAAAGATGCAATCTCCCCTCTCTAGCTATACACCTTCCACCTCCAAAGGATCAGGGCTTGGTCTCGGAGAGCAAACAGGCAGTGTGGAACTTGGCCCTACACTGCCTACGTGGGCAGTATTTCAGGATTTCGACCTCCCTTCTAGCAGTCTCCTGGAACAGGGAGGGGGGCCCGACCTCACCAGCCACACATAACCAGAACTTTGGTGGGCCGAGTTTCCACCTCCTCACACTCTCTGCCAGAACGGGGGTGAAAAGATGGCTGTCTCTGTCCTCAAAAGAGAGAGCAAGCTTGCTCCTCCCCTATCCCCCTCAAGCCTCACACCCCCTCTTTTGAACCCCTGGGCAGCCTTTCCTGGGGCCATGGGGAGGCAGAACCAGAGCCACTGAGGATCTGCAGAAAGTCCTATGCAAACAGCCTGGGGTGCGAGGGGAGGGGGTTGGGGGGCAGAGTGGGTAGGGTTTGGGACAGCGGGCTGCAGCCAGAGGCAACTGCTCCTGCCCATCCCGAGGTCTCAGCTCTTTGTCTATGGAGGGAGGAACTGCGCTGTTAGGGTGGCTGGCTCGTCCCCAAACATTGCAAAGGGCTCCAGGCGTACAGTCTTGGTTACACCCCCATTACCACAAAAGTTAGAAAACGTGAGGTATTTCTTTTGTCATTAAGAAACAAAGCAGAGCAGACCTTTTCTTTTTTCACCGAGACTTTTTTTTTTTTGGACAAAGAAGTCACCCGCTCTGACTCCGTTTTGAAAAACAAACAAGCCAAAAACCTTATTCAAAGTTTGCAGAAGTCGCCTTGTAAGTTTCCTGCATCTCTAGGGACGAGCTCAATTTCTGGCTCTGACTTTGGATCCAGGGGCTCTCTGGTGTTCTTGCCTCTCCCCTTGACCCCGGGATGGTAGCAAGTGCTGGGCAGCCTCGGTCAGGGCACAGAGGATCCCCGAAGGAGCCCCGTCCGACTGATGCGAGATAGCCATTTACGGCTCTGCCTGGCATTACTGGGAGCTGGCTCGCTAAAGAGAGCCGCGGTCCGCGCCTGCATCTGGACTTTTCCTTGCTCAAACACCTGAATTCAAGGAAAGCCTAGTTTGGAAAAGCTGCAAAGGGGCTAAGGAGGTTCAGGGGAGAGAAGGCAGAGAAAGCCATTTATTTACCTCATGCTGGCTAGGGGCTGGTCTGCAGCCGCTCTAGTCCCGGGGATTTCTTTTTCGTTCTTTTGACTACTCCTTCTCGAAGCTTCTTCGCTGGGAAAGTTACACGCTTAATTGTTGAGAGTTTTGTTGTTGCTGCTGTTCTTGCCTTTTTATTATTTCTTCTTCTTATTGTTTGTTTAAAGTTGAGCAACGTGGAGAAAAACGGAAACCGGAAAGTGAGACTGCTTCCCAGCTGAACTGGATCCTGTTGTGGGGTGGGTGGAATCTGACGTGAGTGGAGAGCTCTGAGTAGAGGGCTGTCAGAGGCCCTGCTTCTCAGAAGAAACCCTCACTTGCTGGAGTAAGTGTTCTGTTGCTAGCTTTTGTGGAAAGCTGATTGATTTCTCCCGAAATTTACAAGTGTTGGATGGAGAAGGGATGTTGGGGAGAGTTGGTAAAGAGCCTGGGGTCCAACCAACACTTGACTCATCGAGTCCTCGTTCCGAAACCTTCTGTATCTAAAGGTGATACCACGGAGACATCCTCTACATTTTCTGATTGGAATAGTTTTCTCAGGAGTGATGATGGATTTGAGTTGACCCAGCCATAAATACCCAACCCTATATCCGATAATTATAAAAAATTGAGTGGCTGAAATGGTATGCTTTAGGTGGATGTGGAAAAGCAAGGTTTTTTACTTTTAAAATGTTTTATTGATAGCTTTCATTTTTACATCACCCTCATTTCCAAAGAAATCTCTCCCCATCTCTTCCTCTGAGTGCCATCCCTCATTACAAATAATGGAGAAATAAAAACATTTCAGCAAAACACATAAACTAACTTGGCAATATATGTCTTATTCAGAACCTGCAATCATCCCACTTCTGCAAAGAAGGGACTGAGGTAAGTTATATTTCTTCTCGAGACCAAGCTTAGGCATTATTATTACACAGCGGTGTTTTTTTTTCTTTTCAGTTTTTAAACTTGCATTTACATTGTGGCTATATTGTATACATTTTCCTGGGTCTGTTGATTTTACTTTGTATTAAGTTGGGTTTTGTTTTATTTTTTGTCATTGAAAAAGCAGACAGAGTTTTTCTCTTTTCAGTGGGAAAGAGAAGGTTGTTGTTTGTCTTCCCAAGCTTGATATTAATAATTTTTATAGCACAATAATTAATATTCCATTACATTTTTTTCTGTTATATATTCCTCAATCCATGGTCATCAACTTTGTTTCCAGTCTTGGCTACTACAAAAAGTGTCACTTCAGTTATTTTGAGATACGTGGGAACTTTATTTCTAACTTTGATATACCTCTTTGAAGTATATACCCAGCAGAAGGATCTCTGAGGTAAAAGATAATAAATTCATAGAATTAGAGCTGGGAAAGACATTTTCAATGAATCCCATTCCATCCTTTTATAACGAGGAAACTGAGGCCATAGAGAGCTTCCATGGCTTACCCAGGATTACATAGGTAGTGTCTTAGACTGTATTTAAACCCAGGTCCTTTGGCTCCAAATCCAGGCTATGAGTATTTTAATCTCTTTCTTATCACAATTCCAAATTGCTTCCCAGAATGGGGGGGGGGGGACAATTCAGAGATTCACAAGTAGTTTATTGGTGCATCTGCTTTTCCTCAGCCCCTACAACATTTGCTCTCAGAGACATTTTGATTTGTGTTTCTCTTAGCCTTAGTGATTCAGAGCAGTTGTTAATATTTTGCCATTCTTCTTTTGTGAACTGCTTGTTCATATCTTGACCACTGGTCCATTAGGGGATGGTTCTTGGACTTAGACATTTTGTTAGTTTCCTACGTATCATGGATCAGACCTTTGTAATCCTCTCTAGTCTTTGTTTAGTTAAGGATTTTCCCAATAGCCATGAGTGAAACATACTTAATGTGTTTTTCATTTCATTTTTAAAAATGGTATGAACTTTAATATTCAGATTAGATATCCATTTTGAACTTTTTATAAATAGGCTAAGATGTTGGTCTAAACTTAATTTCTATCAAACTACATTCCAGTTTCCCCAACACTTCTTGTCAAATAATGTGTTCTTTTTTCAGGAAATTTATGTTTTTGTGTTTATCTAATCCTGAGTTACTGACCTCAGTTATTTCTGATTCTTGAGGCAGCTAGGTAGCACAGTGAATAGAGCACTGGACCTGAAACTAAAGACCTGAGTTCAAATTTAGATTTAGACACTCATAAGCTGTGTGACCCTGAACAAGTCACTTAAACTTTCCAGGCCTCTGTTTCCTCATTTGTAAAAAGATGATAATAAAAGCACTTACCTCCCAGGGTTGCTGTGAAAATAAAATGAGATAATATTTGTAAAGCACTTTGTAAACCTTGAAGCACTTTATAAACACTAGCTATTATTTCTTATCTGTCTTCCAACAGAGAAGGTTCACTGATCTGTCTTTGTTCTAACCAGCAGTAGGAAGCAGCCTGCACTCTCCTAGAATCACAGAATGGCAGGGCTGAAAGGGACCTCAGACACCAGCTACTCCAAGGAATTCATGTTACAGAGAAGAAAACAGTTTCACAGTTAGGAAGTGACTTTCCCAAGGTAATAACAAGTTAGTGTGTGTGGGCCTGGAATTGAAGATCCCGAATTCCCAGGCCATCTTTCTACCACACCACACTTAGTCACTGTCACAGGCTTTGCTTTCTTTCTCTCTTTCCAGCCTTTCTGTTTTCTCTCCTTGGTCATAAAAGGGAATATTATTTCCTAGCCCAACATACTGGAATTTAGGCTGTGTTTATCTCTAGGATCATATGTTTGGAGCTGAAAAAGACCTTAGAATTCCCTCACTTTTTGCATAATAATACTTGAATGACCTGCCTCATTTGACATCACGAGGAAAACATGTTGCAAACCTTAAAATGCTACTTCATGTGAGCTATTAGTAAACCCTGAGTCAAAACGATGGCTCTGCTGCATTGACCTGAAGTGAGTAATCTCACCTCTCTAGGCTTTGGTTTCCTTATCTGTAAAATAAAGAGGTTGAGCTATATGATCTCTTAGGCTCTCTTGGAACTCTAACAGTATTTGAATTAATGGTCTTGACTCATATTTGTGCCCAAGCAAAGACCTGGTTTGGTCCACCCATGATGCTCATGGCTTCTGGTATAGGGAATTTGTGGAGGGAGGGAGAGGATTGCTCCATCACCCTTTGATTTCTAGATTTTCTTGTCTCTTCTGCTCTACTGTAGTCCACCATGCAAATAGGCTTGTGAAAAATTATTTTTAGTGAATCAACAACAAACAACTATTGAACCCTCACTAACAAAGCATCGTTCTGGGAGTTTGGTGTAAATGAAGGACAATGAGAAATACCTCTAACCTCAAAGAGCTTATAATTTAGTAGGGAAGATACACACACATACACACACATATATGTGTATGTATATGTGTGTGTATGAATAATTATAGTATGTTATAGATCAGGTTAAGAACAAAAACTAATAATTTGTATTTTGTTAGTACTTTAAAGTATTCCCTGGGTTAAGGTGGACATCAAAGGTAAATGAGCAGCCCTGCAAAGCCCTTACACCAGGAGTGCTAGTTCTCCCTGGACACCCATGCACCCCTAATGTGTGTAATGTGCTTTGTAAACATTAATGGAAACTATTATTACTAGCTAGGGTGAGGGAGTGTCATGGCAAATCTCTGAAATTGGCGTCTAGGTTTAGGTCTAGGTCTGTGTTATTCATTGTGCCACATACCTTTCCTGACTTCTGCTTAAAGTAGACCAGATAATACCTACCCTGAATTCATATAGCTTTTTTGGGAGGGTGGGAAGGGAAGGAAGAGAATTTCTGTCACCATTCTGCCTCAGGGGACCACTAGTAGTTGGTAGGTAGGTGTGTAGAATGTATCCAAGTTATGGCACCTGGCTGTCCTCAGAGAGCACAAAGTATTTGCATAGACTGGCCTGGAATAGATTTAGTATAAGAAAACCAAACAGAATATTGGAGATAATGTGAAGAAAGATCATTATCCACTATCATAGATCCTGCATAGCAACCAAATGAAAGGATGGGCCCTGTTTTTAAACAGAATTCTGCAACCTCTTAGGTTTCACATTCTTGGAAAGAATTGGCCACCATCCCCCACCCCTCAACAGTCTATACAGCTGTGATAAGCTCCAGGGGCAACTGTCTTCACTGTTGCCTGGCAACAGCAGGCCTTATTTTTGAGCCTAGGGCCAAGAAAGAATCCAGAGAATCCAGACTGGAGGGAGGGAGGCAGTTCAGAGACAGCAATAGTCAGATCCTGGGTTTTTTGTTTTGTTTTGGTCCCGGTTTAGGCACGTCTTTGTTTTACTTAAGCAAAAATTAAAAAAAAAAAAGATAAAACATGTAACTAGCAATGGAAATTAAACTAGCTGCTTAAAATTCCTCATCAAATACTTACAGTTTTTCTTTTGAAAAACAGACTTTCTGCATAATACTTTATAGGTCATTTAGTGCGGTTATATATAGGTCATTTAGTGCGGTTATAAACGTTATTGCACTGCTCAGTGCATAGGTTTTTATATCTTCTCTTGGGTTGCATTTCCCATTAAAATTTTAAAGATGAGGTGAATTGACTTTGCCTTTTTAATGGGGATGAGGGAGGGAGAAGAAAGTAGTTTTTAAAATAAATTTTTATTTTTGTTTCTTTTTGTGGTTCTATACTTAATGAACATCATCAGATATTAGCATTTTCATATGCAAAGATGAACAAAAAAGTATTTTGTATGAAACCATGAATCTATTACATACACATTGCATTTAAAAAAAGAATATAAGAAGAACATGGGATATACTACCTATCAGGTTTATGGATAGGATATGAAGAAATAAGAGATAGAAAGCATTGTTGAGGTATAAAATGGATAGTTTAAATTATTCAAAGTTAAAAATTTCTTGTATAAATAAAATTAATGTAGCCAAGATTAGAAGTTAAGCTTAAAATTGGGGGAAAATTTTCATAGATAAACTCAGATAAAGGTCTCATTTCTCAAATACATAAAGAACTTTGTCAAATTTGTAAGAATATGAGTCATCCCCCAATTGATAAATGGTCAAAGAATATGGACAGGCAGTTTTTCAATGAAGAAATTAAAACTATACGTAATCATGTAAAATGCTCTAAATTAATATTGAATAG